GGCTCTCCCTTTTTATGTGTTTGGATCGGTTCTCCATGGTTCTGTGTTCTGTGTGTTCTGACAGATATGCGGGGATCATCCCCAGACTGAACCGAACCACAGCAGACCTGCAGACGGACCTCCTCCTGCTGTCCACAGATCAGCCTGACGGACGGACGGACGGACAGTCTGATGCCAACTGTCTCCGCTGTCAATCTCTCGGCACCACTCCTCCTCCTGTTGCTATGGGCAACCCACCCCTCCATGGCAACCAACTGGCTGTGAGTTCTGGGAGGAGTTTGTTTGTCCGGCTGTAACTTTTACAGACGCTGACACGTCTCTAAATCTCAGCTCTTTGTCTGCTGCTGCTGCTGACCTTTTCTCTTCCCTCCGCCTCTTCATCCGCTATCTGCCCTCTGGGTCCAATTCTGTGGTTCTGACCCTGTGGTTCTGTTTGTGTGGCAGCTCCCTGGCGAGGCTGCCCCGGTCCAGGCCAGTGTCCGGTTCCGCCCCCTGCGCCCGGCTCAGGGGTCTGACTCCGGGTCAGGTGGGGGTGTGCAGGGCTCGGGGGGAGGTGATGGAGTCGGTTCGGAAGGCGGCCGAGATGGTGGTGGAGGAGGTAGGAGCAGAACCGCTCACACACACACACACACTGCACATATTCATAACACTGAACACTGTGTTGGTGCTTCTGGTTGTTTCTTGTTGTTCTGATTGTGAGGTAGAACCTCCTGCTGTGCGCAGGACAATAACACTCCAATCAGAGAGCATCATGGGAGCTCTGACGGGTCATAGAGCCATGGTCGGTTCTGTTGCTGTTCCTCCAGCGTTCTATCACCTGTTCTGTTGAAACAGCGCTGGTTCTGACTCGTGTTCTGTTTCTACCAACCTGAACTTTGTCTGAATCCAAAAACCAGAAGCAGCTGGTACCGGAACATTACCGGAACCTTTACACACAGTTTTACTTGTTTGTTTGTTAACATGAATAAATGGTACCGATCCATAAAAATAGAGCTCAGCTCCTCTTTGATCCTCTATGACGGGGTTCTGAGACAACAGAACCGGTGCAGCGATCCGGTAAACAAGAATTCACTACAAAGAGTTTCCTGAGCATTCCTTTAGTTTCACACCCGGTTCGGTCCATGTGCTCAGCGTGTCAGCACCAGATCTGACCGATCCTCTGTCTCTCCTTCAGTGTCAGCACCAGTTCCGGAACCGCCGCTGGAACTGCTCCACGACGCCTCGTGGGATCAACGTGTTCGGCCGAGTGATGAATCAAGGTACCGCTGGCCCGGATACAGACGCTCCGGCTCGAACCTGAGCAGGGGTCCCGCTCACGGTTCTGTCTGCTTCGTTTCAGGCACTCGTGAGGCGGCCTTCGTGCACGCGCTGTCCTCGGCGGCGGTGGCGGTGGCCGTGACCCGGGCGTGCACCCGCGGCGAGCTGGAGCGGTGCGGCTGCGACAGGAAGGTTCGGGGGGTGAGCCCCGAGGGTGAGCCGTGAGCCGAAACCCTGAGTCCAATGAGCCGCTGTCACCTGTGCGGTGTCCTCAGAGGATTGACCTCCAACAGAACCGGCCCAACAGAACCGTCTCCTCTGTCTCTCCGCAGGGTTCCAGTGGTCCGGCTGCAGTGATAATCTGTCCTACGGCGTCGCCTTCTCCCAGACCTTCGTGGACGAACCGGAGCGGGCCAAAGGGCTGTCGGCAGGACGGCCTCTGATGAACCTGCACAACAACGAGGCCGGAAGAAAGGTTGGACACGACCCGCGGCCGAACCTCCGCCCTGAGGTCCGCCACCCTCTGACCGTCTGCTCTCGTCTGCAGGCCATCCTCCACAACATGCAGGTGGAGTGTAAGTGTCACGGCGTGTCCGGGTCCTGTGAGCTCAGAACCTGCTGGAAGGTGATGCCTCCGTTCCGACGCGTCGGCGTGGTTCTGAAGGAGCGTTTCGACGGAGCCACGGAGGTAAAACCTGACTTCTGGAGAAGAACCTTCACCAGAACCACAACCTGCTCTCAAACTCTTTCGCCCATGTTCCAGGTCCGGCTGACCCGTATTGGATCCAGGACAGCGCTGCTTCCTCGGGACCCGCAGGTCAAACCTCCCGCTGCCAGAGACCTGCTGTACCTGTCCGCCTCCCCGGACTTCTGCCACCTGGACCCGGACAACGGGATTCCCGGGACGGCGGGTCGGAGGTGTAACGGTGAGTCCAGCCGCCGGCAGCAGCAGGTGGTCGCTAAATGAGCTCACCTGTCAGATTGTGACGTCTCCTCCTGACCTACAGGAACGTCCCGGCTCGCGCCAGACGGCTGTGAGCTGGTGTGCTGCGGACCCGGGTACCGGGCGGGTCGGGCCGAGGTGGTGCAGCGCTGCTCCTGCAAGTTCTCCTGGTGCTGCTCGGTCCGCTGCCAGCAGTGCAAGAACACAGTCACCATTCATACCTGCAGGGTATGAGACGCAAGAAGCAGAACCAGAACCGAGCAGCAGAGTGACTGAACAGAACCCGGATCTAACAGTCACACCTTTACACCAAACAGCAGTTTCACCTTAACCTGCCCCAGAAGCTGCACTTTGGTTCCGGATTCTGCTGTAAAAGCTGCAGAAGTTGGTGAAGAACAAAGTCCAACATGTTAAACCGACTCAGAGTCAGAACACTGAGACCCAGAACATCAGTCATCCACACACTGAACTGACAAAGCTTTTAAAGCTGAACTTAACCAGAACTAACACCGCCGCAGCTCTGACCTCCTCTTGGTGTCGTAGACTAGCAGGTCTCTGAACGTCTCGTGTGGATTCTGGTTTATTTATTCGGACATCAGAGTCCTGGCTCGGTTCAGCAGCAGCGTAACTGTACTGACATCAGTCTGTTCATCATCCTGTCAAACTGTCTGTTCTGCAGCAGCAGCGCTTTTAGGTCCGTTCAGAACGCCAATAAACTCAGTAGTTCCATCCAAACACCAAAACCCGTCTGAGTGTCTTCTTCCCGTCTGATTCTTTAAGGTTCTGGTGCAGAGCTCAAGTGCTTCGTGGAGCTGATCTAAACAGTGCTGCTCTCCTGTAATGGGTCGGATCCACAGAGGCTCAAATAAGAAAAGATCCAAATCAAACATCCTTTCTTTGTAAAAACAAAAACCCGACCGAACCGCTGACAGCAAGTCGACCGACCCGACCCGAGGAGGGAGACGCAGAGCAGCACCATCCAGGACTTCACTGGGGATGACTTTCTGGATCAATCGATCACGTTTGTCTCTAAAAAGTCAGAAAAGTGTGAAAAACATGGATCAGAGTTTCCTCAAACGTCTGGTTCAGTCCAGAGCCGTTCAGTTTAGTGTCAGAGGAACAGAACCAGAACACATTCACTGGAGGAGCTGAAGCTACAGTTTACACGGATTCTATTGAAAAATTACTCAAACTGATTGATTATTGCAACAGTTTGAGGTTAATTTCATCGTTGACAGCTGATCCATTAACCGCTGCTGCTCCAGCAGAGACCTGCAGACGTCCTCCAGACCAACATGGAGATCATGAACGGTCCCTCAGGACCGGTTTCTCTCAAACGTTTTGTTGAGCAGAGTTCCTGCTCAAACACACAAACCAACAGGCTGCATTCCATTTCAGTTCAACCATTTTATTAAAAACATCCTGTGATTACAAACACCCAGAAGTTTACTAGAAAAGGTTTCATCTCTAGGAAAATATTACACCTCAGACTGTTTCATCATCATCATCATCATCATCATCATCACTCACAATCCGTATTTAAGCAATAAAACATCTGGATGAAACTAAACTCAAGTTTCAAAGTGAATAAAAAAAAAAGAAGCTAAAATTTCCCAAAACAGCGTCACAGATTCTGACAGCAGACACGTAAAATAATGAGCAGAAGTTGTGGATCCAGCTTTAGCAGCGGCTGGAAGAATCTCTCGTGCTTCACTACTGATCCGAAGGTCCAGAGAACCACAGAACCACATGAAGCCTACGCAGCAGGAGGCCGAAGGCTTTACAAAAGAAGGTTCTATTAAAAAAATGGAGGAACAGCGACAGGCAGGGGGGTCCGGCCCCACCAGAACTTACACAGAACACTTAAAGCTTCAGAACACACTGACTGTATTTACTGCAGGTTCTGCAGCCTGAAGGCACCGTCAGCGTATCAGAACGTCTCAGTGGCACTGAACCTCCCCTTTGGTTTGTC